TGAAAAATAATTACGCAAGTAAAGTACAGATAACCAAAATTTCTACTAAAGTACAGTAACAAAGTATTTGTACTTAGTTACTTTACAACTCTGCTCTTTACCCGGACAGAACAAAACCACCCAACTTGTTCATATTTTGCACCAACTGCATTCATCTCCTTTTCTCGAACCACATCTCACAAACACACCAATACATGCAGCTGCCCACTCCCTCATGCACCTCGGTGTGTTGCAGCAGAGGTCGGTGCAGGCATGCACTGATGCATCTGAAAGCCCAAAGATAACTGCAGCCCTGATGGTACTAACAGCACGCCTCGGCCCGATGGATTAAAAGCTTAATCCTTTCCAGACAGGAGGGGTTGAGATGGGACCGCAGCAGCAGCCGGGGTGCTGCATGGGGGTCTGCTGAGCAGAGGTTTGAGGTGTGTGCAGAAGAGGAAAACAATGAGTCACTCAGCTATTTAAAAACTGAGTGTGAACACACTGGTTTCCACCAACTAAAAGCTGAATGGTCTCCCCAGATGGTCATGTACAACCTTTACACCCACAAATGTAGCTCTCTCTTCTCATGTCTTAGTCACTTTTGTCTTTCAGAGCATTTTGTCTGCTGAAAATGGTTGAAAACTCAGAGATTGCAAGTTTTCATCAAACTAAAATCTCTTGTTTAACATTTAAAATGATCCTGATGTTGCATTCATCTTGTAATAGCTTCCATTCAGAAAACTTAATTTCCCATCATTTAACACAAAAAACAATTTGTACAACATTTATGTAATTTATCCATGTACAGTTCAAACCAAGTTATCTACTTTTTGCCATTCTTTACATGTTTATTGTCTTTTTTATTGTGTTGTAATCTGGTTTGACTGTTTTGATAATAATAAATACACATTTAAATGTTGGGTGCCATGCAAAATCAACTTTGTTGAGATTTAAATCGTGTTATAATATCATTTCTACATCAAAAATAAACATCATGTTGCTTTGACTCGTTCATGCATGTTCGACAAATCCTTGAATCTCCTGTGGAGCTGCCTAAACTGGGACAAAGCACCGCCTATTTGTACAAAGCTCCTCCCTGGAGCTCAGTCTGCAGCCAAGCTCCCGCCCCTCCCCCAAAGGCATTGTTGTGAAGACGTGCTGAAGTGGGAGTGTCAGAAACAGTAAGAAGTTCATAAAGAGACAGAGGTCAATTATGATGCAAAGAAAAAATTATTTTTGATTTATATATATATATATACACATACAGCATTTTCAGAACAACTGAATATATTTTTGTCCAGTCAGGCCTATTATATCACTCTGTAATTACAATCTGATGTTCTTTGTTTGCTTCTTGTTCAAGAAGAAGCCAGGAGGGCAAATAAGTCACGGTTTCCATCATTGTTGTATTTGTGGTTAAGTCTGATTGTTGTGAAATATCCCTGCAAAATAAAATGTGACTACTACACTGCATTTCTGCTAATGATGCCCTGAATATTTGACAACACAACTTTCATTTAGACTAACTGCCCTAAAGTCAACTAAGAGCAGCTGCTTACAAACCTGCATGGAAACAAAAGTTTAAAAAAGGGACAAATTAATGGACAGATGTATAAAATGTTTTCTTTTTTCTTCCTGGCTACCTACAAAGTCACATTTTAGCAGTGCTACAAGTTCTTAAATGATACAATTAACTTCTTAGTTATTGATGTATTTATATTTAATGATCCTGGGCTAGAGGCTGAAGCTGAAATGGCAGCATTCTAATAAATMCAATAAGTAACTTCAGTTTTCATAACTATGACGGCTGATTTACAGAAACCCTTTGAGCTCTGTTCATGTTCAAACCTGCGTTCAAACCTGCACACCCTTCAGAGCACGAAATCACTCAAACTGAGCCTGCGCTGCATATTCGGCCCGAGGTAAAATCATTTATATTCAAAGCAGGTTCACGACACATCATCACGGCTTCCAGCTGACTTTAAAATCCCTTTCAGCATAAAAGGGAATCCTATACAGCAAGGTGGGGAGAGCAGAGTGCTGCTTCTCTCGTTTCACTGAGTCCATCTCTGTCATTAATTGGATTTTTTTCCACTTTTCACACTTGTTCAGTTACATCAATTTCCATATTTCAGTTGTGTCTTTCTTCCTCTCGATACAAGCCGTGTCAATAATTGACCAAAACTGATAAATTATATATTTATAGTTTTGTTTTTTCAAATTGAGCAGCTGGTATTTGTCAGATAAATTCGCAGAACTGGCCATTTCAAGCAACGTATTTAAATAAATGGAATTATAATCAACTTAAAAAGCTTCCCACTCTTCTCTGTTTCCCTCTGAGACTAGGCATCATTTTCCAGAACTATCAAGCAAACCACTAGAAGAAAACTCCACTCCCACTCTGCATCCGAGCTAAAAGCTTTGCTCCTCTTTGTAGGAGCCTGAAGATGTGAGGAAGAAAGGAAGCTTCCATCGTCGGAAGAAAAAAAAAAAAAAAAGTAAGACAAGGAGAAATTTCTTGATGAGCTGAAGTAAACGATTTTATTCTGAAGATATTATTTTACTAACACCTGCAATATCAGATCACATGAAAATATTCGGGGAAAGATAAACCTGTTAAAGGTGAATCTATTAATTCTAAATGTACAATGAAACCCTAAAGAGAAATACTTACATTYAAAACAGGAGAAGTTTCTGACTCTCCTCCGATGAGGCGGTTCAGATCAGAGCATCGGTCGGAGGTGATCAGGTGTGTTTTGTCTCTTCCTGCCTTCGACTGAGCCTAAATTTTTATACTTTTAAACACCGGAAGATAAAAGAAACAGAAGCCACGAGATGAGAAACACAATCCTTTCGGACTCTTGTTACACTCTCAAGT